TCACCAAGTGTGACCCATTTGCTTATTCCATTAATTGAACTTAAAAGCGTTGTGTCCTATTTTCCACCCTTTGTACATTTCATTGCCAGTTTCAGAATTGTTCAAATCTTTCATCATCGTATGAAATACATCATACCTCCATTCTTTTCATTTTACTCAAGCCAATTACAACTGATAAATCTTTCATAATTGCATTCTAAACGCATTACAAACCCGTTCTCTTCCTACCTACCAATGGCAATATTAGAACACTAACAACTAAATTAATACAAATCTACAAATGAACCCGCAGATGAGCGATCAAATTTTATCCTCATTTAATTTTAAGGACCTTTGTGTTCGTTACATTTTAATCGCCTTCCTCGGGAGTCGAGTTTCCTTAGTCCTGCTTGTTGTAAAACGCAGGCAAATGTGACATTCTGCATTCATGATGCATGATTATTGACCTTAATTGGCAAGGCGAATCGAGAAAGAACATTCAGTTAAGTTTCAATAGATCTTCGACATCATCTGAAAAAGAAATGGTAAACCTGAAATGCCTTTGTATATTTCACAAAATCAATCAATAAATTGCAAGTAATTAGTGTTTTGAATTACTATGATATTAAAAATAGGCATTAAAACCCCACCTCGATTACTTCAACTCTTCCAGTCTGTCAGATTCCGTAAGAAGTGCAGATAATTCATTCAGAAAGGCCTGCGTTTCGATGCCTTCATCTAATTTGAGTATTGGCAAAACAATTGTAAGAACACATCTGGATGTGGGCTATTATTTGAGCAGGGAATATTGAAAGACTTGTGTTCTTCCCTCTAGTGACATAGTTAATGAATCGAAATATCGATTTTTGATCATCTAGCATATCTGTTCGTACTTGCTCTCGAATTTCTAAATGTCATTGTCGAGGACATATTCTTGGAAAAGACTGTGATTGGTAAAAGGGATAGTGGGCCGTAAGTTATTTGTTGGAACCCATGACATTTCAGGGACATTTTAGTAAACGGTATTCTCTAGATATTCGCTATAAATAGACGGATTTTTGTTCCAGCACGAATTGAAGCAAGCATTAGACTCCATTGGTAAAAGTGCTCAGTGTAATGGCAAACACTTGCAATGGAGGGAATTGCTTTAGAGGCGGATATGATGAGATCATTCAAAAGACAAATCCTGGTCCTTATTTTTTTGAACGAAGAGGAAAATAGGGCAATGAGAACATATAGAGAAGCAATCAATGAGAGCACATCGGTGATCAGGTTTGCCTGTGTTTCGTTACAAGCAGGTCCTAAGGGGACTCGACTCTCAATAAAGATATAAATATTCGTCATAAGTTGTTATAACCAAAGACAAAAATTAACAAAAGAGCTGCTAGGAAGGCGATCAAGATGTAGCGAATACGGTGCTTCACAAATTAAGCAATTATAAACAACCCATTATACTCCATCTCTAACAAAAGTATGACGCCAGTAAAGTGAGCATTCAAAAATCATTAAAGCTTAATATTAAAAATCGGTTATGAAAGCTAAATTCTACAAAAATATTTTTTAATTATAAATGATGCAATGGTAATTAAAGTGAGTCTTCCAAACAAATGGAAAATTGCAATTGTGTCTGTGAAATTGAAATTGGCTAATTTTAGAGGAGTTCAATCGGATGAAAATGGATTAAACCTGGCAACTTGCATTTGAGGAAAGGATCAAAAGAAATGGTAATGGGGGGGGGTGATTGGGATTGGAAATAACCTCTGCTTAAAGTTGCTCAAGGATTCATTGTTTAAAATTGACCATAAATATAGCATTTTTATTCCATCTAATTAATCAATATTAATGAAGTGGGGTGTGCGATAGACTTACCTCCACGTGGTGCACCCTGGGCAACGTATACTCATACGGCAAAAAAGTCTATCAATGGGCAGTTGACTTCTGACTTCTCCTCTGTGAAGCCTGGAGTCAACTAAAGGGCTAATGATAACCATCAAGACGCCTGCCATTTGATAAAAAATATTATTAATGAAGTGGTTAGGAACCCAATTTATATGATATGCAAAATGGTCATTGAAAATGAACCTTTTTTACTCCACTTTTTATGATCTGTCAGGTTCCCATAAGTAGAACTATTAATTCATTTTAAAGGCATATGGTGCAATATAGTCCTTTTATTTTTTATTGGAGTTGGGTTCATTTACAAAAAGTGACTGAACTATGGGCTTAAGAGGACATATTTTCACATCGTCTCATTTAGATGCTAAACTTCACTTCAAAGGAGTGTCCTTTTGTATAACAAAAATTGAGTCAAAGAAAGCTGTGTTAATAGTTGTTTAGTTTATTCCTACAAAAAAATCATAAAATGTGATTGGCTCATGGCTATTTATTAATCCGTTACGATTACAGTAAGTGATTCACTTAAAAATAGAAAATTAACATGGATCACCTATTTGGATTTGCTATCTTAGCTCTTGCGGGTTCTCTCATCTTCTTTTTTGCTACTGGCTTCCCAGCTTGGCCATGTTCCAATAATCTCTTTCAGGGAGAATGTACCAAGGATTTCGAATTTAGGGAAATTGGAATTCTCTTTATTGTTGTTGGTCTTTTGGCATTCTTTACGGCATTGTTACTTATTCATTTCGGTGTGACAAGAATTGAATGGGCAGCATGGTCTGCTCTAGTGTTTTCTGGTATTGTAGCTGCCTTGGCTCTTGGTTCAATTATCTTCTACGTCACCAAAAGAGATCCAGCGAGCCCATATGTGAGTGGTGTTGCTGCTGGCCTTTCAGTTGGGTTGTTCGTTCTTCTGGTGATTGAATACACTGAGTAAATGATTTCCCTGTTCTAATTAACTCATTGAATCAAGCAAAACTCGAAAAAGGATATTTAAATTGTATCCTATTTTTTGTTTTAAATATACCCTAGCTTACATGTTTTCTTTCATTTCCTGTATTTCAAGTTGAAAATCGTCAGGTTTACATTTAATACCATTTTACCTAAATAAAATGAAAACAATATTTAGTTATTTTCATCGGAATTGGTTTAATTGTTTTATTACGCAAAATGGCTACTTGTTCCAAAGTAAATTCCCATTTATAACAAATATGATTTATTATCTGCCATTCTATCTATATGGAAGTTTAATAATTAGATTAAGAGAGTAGTAATTTTTAATACATAAATACTGAGGATATTACATTTGATTCTGTTTTTTTCCAACTTGAAGCAAATTACTACACTAATAAGTCTTGACTGCACTCAAAAATGTCTATGGCTGATCCTCCTATTTTCGGAAAAACTGCCAGAACTGACTGCGCTACCGGAAAGCTATAGAGGAAGCAGACGTTTCACGTGAACACTTTTATTAGGGCTCTGTGTGTGTGGTGAGCGCACAGACATGGAGCTTAGTCATTATATTCATATGACGGGTTTGCTAAACTAAGTGTGGGTTATTGATTTGCGAATGGTTGGGTGCTCTTCGCACTCACGACCTCACTTACTCCCTACGCGAGAGCTCATCTTTTTTTACTAAACGAATTATTAAAACAATTCTACCATCTGAGTCGATCGACCACATGCGATTACAAGTTGATGGAAATAGTTAGGTTGGTCAGTCGTTTCACATACCTGATTGCAAAGTGAGTAGGTTTGAATAATTTTCCCATCTAGTTGTCTTTTTGTCATCACCGATTTACCACGGATTTGTAATAAAATGATATTTTATTAGGCTTCAAAGCAATGAAATGGGCTTTAAAATTTTGAAATTGGCTATCTATGATAAATCAGTAGTCTTGTTTTTTATTTTACCAAATCACGCAAAACCATATTTCATGATAATTTTCTTATGATATAATGCATTCTCTAATATTTTTTATCGACGCGGGAGAACCGTTTCTTAGCTGTATCTAAATTGCTATGTCAAGATGAAGACTTTGAAGAGGTTTGGTAGTCAGACAGATGAATGTGTGACGAAAGGATTTTTGTAATTGAAAGCAATTTTGACAATCCTGAGGGGCCTTAATAACTAACTCGGATACCGAAAATGGTCAATTGTACACCACCCCTGAAATTCAATTAAAAAAATATCACTTTTTTTCAAAATTTTGAAGGAAATAAGCATTATCTCACAAGGCTTGACGTATTTTAAATGCAATGCAATAAGTAAAAATGAAGAATACGCATTAATTTGGTTTTCATTTGGCCTGATTTTCTGTTTTGACTTATCATAGCTGTGTCGTACCATTTCTATAAATTCGTAATGTGAATTAGAAATTCTCACAAAGCGATTCTTTATAGCAATGAGAAGAATTTAAATTTTGCATTTGTCCGCATTAAGTTAGTAATTCCGGAACACAACCACTTCACGTATCATCTGGTCAAGCTATAATTTACCCAGAGGCTTAATAAGATTATGTTAAATTTATTGTCTCAATGATTAATCTCTTAGAGTTTGTTTCGATTATGGATGGTCGTGGAAGATTAAGCCAATCGCTACTTTGTATTGTACAAATGTGGAACATTAGCCTTATCAGACAGTGAAACGATTGATAAGTGGCAATTTACTTTATTAAGTCGTAACCTTTATTGATTCTGACGTGTAATGGATATATCGATTTCTGTCTTCGTCAAAGCATTGTCTTCTCAAACATATGCAATATAAAACGACTCATGAGCATGGCTGCGCATTAGCATATAAAACAACAACATACATTATTCAGGAATTTACCGAGAGTTAATGACATATCAAAGTTCTCTGACTCTATATTGAATTGGCAATGATATTAACAAGGTATTATTTTATAAAAATTAAATTGATTTCAAAGACAAGTTAGATGCAGTTTGACAAAACCCACTTATGATGTAGGTGCGCTATTACAAATCGGTCTTAAGAGAAAATCGCAACATACTGCTATTCGTTTTAACCGAACTTAATAAGTAGAAGGAGCATCCACAATAAGGCGGGTATGAATGAAATAACTTCCAACTTGACAGAAGGAAACGCTAACCAGTTACAACGTTTAACATGTTTATTTAATTTTTGTGATATTAAAGGACGCTTAGGCAAAGAATTGTAAATGCGTTTTCATTTCTTCCAACTGAATTATCATCAGCATGGTTTCAGCAATTCGTTAATTCGATTACCAAGCATGGTCATTGGATGGACCAATTTGATTACCGTACGAAGATATTTTGGCGCAAAAGCCATTTTGCCTTATTCTAAAGAATAATATTGAATTTCAATAAATAGAAAATTATACCTACTGCCTCAATATAAGTTCAATTTCATTAATAATTACTTGTAAGTTCCAAGACATTGTATAGACCTGTGAAGAACATTTCACAGATTCAAGAAATCGTTGCAAATATTATAAATACCAGATAACCATTTTGAAACCCGTAAGGAGATACGTAGTTATATATTAATTAATTGATCAAATGTGTATGAAATCGTGCTAGATATTTGATGCTAGATTTAATGCCCCTAGGTCAGCACGTAGGCAAGTTTTTCTCATTTAGGTGAACATGGCTCTAACTTGCTGAGTGGATATGTTAACTTTATAGGTTTTGCGGAGTTAATTGTGGTTTCCTACGTTTTTATATATTTCAAATTTTATGTTTCTTTGCCAAAATCGGCTTAATTCGATAAATACATGCAGGCTTGTTGATACTCACGTGTAACCTATTTTCGATACCATAGGCAACAAAGACAGGCTTCATAAACGGATTTTTCCTTAAAGTATTAAATCTAATTACAAGCTAATCCGACTTCTTGAAATCGACACTGCTCGAAGAGCTTCCATGATCGCAATGAGCTCCTTTCCACCCATTCACACGGAATATTGTTTGAGAAAATTTCGTTTACTACGCAGCCAATACACTGAATGACAATCAACTCTCAAAGTGTATTTTATCTTATTCGTTTTGTCTCCTTAAGAGTTAAGAATGACAAAAGATACTAAAACGTGTCCAATTAAGCAGGCCATTTTGGACTGGAATCAATAAAGTGAAAAAATGACTGTTAAACCAGTGTCAAGTGTTTTTTGTGCCAATGCTAAATGATATGCTCTATTCTTCCATAAACAACCTTCATCCTTCTCTGCACCCTTTTGAACCATAAAATTATCGGATTTAAATGGTTAATAAATTTGAAATAGTTTAGTCTCCTGAATAGGCGATTTGCTTGTAAACAAACAATTTATGTCTATGAAAATGCCTTCGCTGCAGCTAAATAGTGCTTACACGTTTTAATCATGGCCAAGTAGCTGAATATGAAGAGGTGTTAAAGCAGTATAAGAAGAAGGAATATAGGGTAAGTGAATAATGAAATGTTAACCTCAATGACCTTATTTAGTTGAAACATGGATTAGCAGCTTTATTTATTTTTTATGAGTAGTGTAGTTTAGTGTTTTAAAGTAAACCTTCCTTTACATCACCTAGAGCCAAAGGTGTCTAGGTTATTCAGAGCGTGTTGAATAGGTGAATTAATTGAGTAGTTGGTGATGCTCTCCATTACATATTCGACTCTTCTTGCAGTTGGCTAATGCGAGCGATAATGGTAATCCTAGCACAGTAGTTCTTTGCAGATCAGATATTTAATCCCTTGGCGCTCGATTTATTTTTCAAGATGCTTGTCTCACAGCAGACTGATACTAGCGTGATGGGTTGTGGTGGTATCAAGCGAAGGCTATAGAGGTATTGAACACGTTTCACATTGCAAAAGCGCCTTCTGTCACGAGTCTAGTACAAATAGAGCTTATTTCAAAGGAGAGCAATACGGTCGTAAGGGTGTTAAAGGGTCTATTGAACAGGTTTTTAACGCCTATATTAAATTGTTGATTAATTAAGGAGCTTCTAAACAGTGCAAAATTAAGGGCAGTGGATGTCTCAGGGTTTCCGAAAGCGCGAAGTAGATTTAAAACTAAAGTTGGTTGAAAACAGACAAATTCAGGCTTGAAACCGTGGTATGTGCATTTTGTCTCAAGGTGCGTGTATAACATTCAATCTTATCGATTAGTCACCCACCACTCCGAATACCTTGACAGTCATTAGCGACAAAATCACCAACGATCAGAGGTGTTTTATTTCCCGAATCCAAATAACCTGAAGATGAATTATCTTAATTTTGCCGGCAAAGTGGCCTTAATACGCATTGATTAAGGCGAATAATAAAGATAAACCAAGTAAGCATGAAATGGTATGACATCCATTAGGCCCTTGGTCAATGAAAATATGGAATTAGGTGTATATGATAGAGAAACTGTAAAAGGAAGAGATCAACTGATCTCAAAAATCACAAAAAATCACATCTAAGGTCGTCCATAGAAGTGACTATTAGTACGCTTAGCATTTTATTCGCATGTGTTTTGTGCACTCATTTAGCCGAAAGATTTTCTAAATTTCATAATGCTTAGTGGTTATATCAATTGCTGACTTTGTTTAAGTAATGTTGAGCCGTACCTTTGATCTGGATCTGATTCTATTATATCCTAAGGAAACCTAATGTGCACACTGAGCTTGCCCAATAGCGTAGAACTGCATTGCTTTACGAAAAAATTGAATAAAAACCGGTTAGTGATTATATTTTTATTAAATAAATAAATAAATGTGGATCTATATGAAGGTCAAGAAGCCTTAGATTTTAGTTTGTGTTGTACAAAGGTACAAATTTAGGTGTGTCAAGTAGTTAGCAAGTTTTCCAATGGGATATTTGAGCTCTCAGTATTGGATCGTTTGATTAAAAATCCTTTATGTCAAACAAAACATGTCATAAAATACGATTCTATTGCTTATTGAAGACGCTTTAGTTTATTATAAAATAAATATCGACAATTAACGCTCTCTCACTGTAGTCTTATGGCCTTTTGGAGAAAAATATCTGTCTGAAGTTACAGCCATCTTGCTAGAAAAGCACAAGGTTAAGTTATTTTTGGAAATAATTCATAGACTATATATGACCACATTGCTAATGGTGTGAATATTGAGTAAAATTTCATTGGCAAATGAAATGCAAATACTTTCCTAATATCAATCAGCCAAAGGCATTATCATCATACGTAGATTGCGCTTCAAAAGTCAAAATCCATAACTTGCCCTCCTTCCAAGGAACATTGATCTAATAACTCCCTGTGAATCTATTAATCAATGAAAGCATTAAGCAGCCTGCAATCGTAATACAAAGACAGAGGCAACTAACATCATTTTTATTATCAAAGAGCAGATAATAACCGCCACCTTCCACCAACTAAGTCGGCAAAAACTAAAAAGTCGCCAATAGATATTACGCAGTTCTACGTCAATCGTTTCATTAGTGACAAGTTTTAAAAGCACCTATTTGGAAGGATCATTGAACTTGGAGTAGTCTAAAGTTAAGTTGTGATTAAGAGGTGATGATAGGTGGGACGAAATTTGTGCAAACTTAAAACCACGAAACATTTTATTTATATCGAATGGTAGGCATTATGACAGTTATCATTGGTCCTTTAGTTGACTTCTGGTTTCACAGGAGATAGGAGCATCAAAGTCACAAAACGTTGAGACAGTGAACAGAAGAGAGAATCACAGTTGTAAGAGACAGACAAGCACAAAGGCAGAGAATAGGTAAGGTGAGTACTAAGGAAGTGCTCGAATATGCCACACAACAGGGTTATAGTAGTCTATAGACGTTTCTTGCACTATGAGTAGACGTTGTACAGGATGCACCACACGGAGGTAAGTCTAAAACAAGGGAAATGTATCTCGAATTGCCGCAATTTTCTCAGGCAACACGGATTCAATACATTTTCATACTCAATGTCATCCATGTAGTCCGAGAATAATACTTTTATGTTTCCAATATTTCTTCTCCCAACAAACTGTAATTTATTCTTCATTTCCCAAATGAGAGAAGATGTCTTTTCAATACGTCTATCTGCTTAGACCTGTATTAATTCAACGTTACCTTCATTAATGCACGAACTTTTACCAAAAAGTACCTCTAATAATTTGCTATTTTAGTGAGTGTCCTAAATTGTTTTGTTCTGCTAGATTACTACTGGGAGTTTAATTTTCGGTAAGTTGTAAGAATTCGAAAGATAAATTTGTTAAGATTGGCTTAATGTGTAATGTTTTACCGTTTTATTTCACAGGTCTTTATTCTTTTTTCGATTTTACTAATAATTTAAAATATGTTCTTTCTAAAGGACTTTGAATAATGCTTCATTCGAGAAATCAAGTTTGCATTAACGTACGAGCATTAGATATAGATATATTTTCGACTGCAAAAATACTAATATTGCGAGTAGACTTGCAATCAAAACGATAGACAAATTATCCGTATGATGACAAATCTTTATGTGGTTAAACTATTGGCTCATCTCAAGTATCTTCTCATCTCCACCAACCCTAATTTTGCTAAGATATTTGCCCTCTATATAAATAGGGGGAGGGGGTTGGCATAGTTAATCTCTAATTTAACTGCGGAAAACATCGAAGTAGTAATGGATCGAAGGATAGGTTACATTATCATCGCTCTGCTGTCAGCATTGCTTTTCTTTCTCGCGGTCGGATACAACGGTTGGCCGTGTGGTGGGAGTCCTTTGAGTGATAGGTGCAAACGCTTGAAATTGTATGAAACAACTGGTGCCCTGATATTAACCGCCGGTCTTCTGGCCCTTCTGTGTGGAATAATCTTGATTTTTGCTTTGCTCAAGGGCGGAGATTGGACAGAGATTGCATCGTTGGTGTTGGCTTTGCTGGCAGCCATAATAGGCATGGCCGGGGTATTTTACTACTATGACAATAGTGCATGGTGGGGCCCATTCATTGCAACTGTTGGCATGTCTTTGACCATAGCACTTGCTGGAATCATTCTTTTTGATGTTATCACCAGCCGCACTTGAACCTATTATGTGACTTCTCTTTCTCTCCTTTTTTGTACTCACAAATAAAGTTGTTAAATTTTCTTCAGCCAAGTGATTTATTCAGATAAACCAATGCATATGAATGCTTTGTTATTAACTTCCTTGAATTATTAGAGGGTGAGAAATAATGTCAGATGAAATATCTCCACCAAGTAGGTTATCTTTAAACCAGAAGTTAAAATTTAAACCAGTCATCATTTACTCACTAGTTGGCAAAATGAAGGTCATTTCTCTAAGGATGTTAGTGTTAGAAAATGTTTGAAGGGGGTTTATCGACTTTTTAATTGAGAATTTGTGGTTATCTAGGCACATCTCGTTTACAGAACGTTTTTCACCGCAATTGGGAAGAGTCCTTTAACCCACCCCTCCCCCACCCCTCCCCCACTCCCCCCCGCCCCTCCTTCCCACTACACTGGCATGTGATTCTTCAAGTAAATGAAGACGTATGTGAGGTTTCGATCCTATTGTATCATCATTGCTGCAATAATCAAAAAAGATTTTTTTGTTTCTCAAGCAGCAGAAACGCACATCACGTGCATTTATTCGGGAGCTGGGAAATCGAAAAATCTAATTAAATGAAAATTTCTTGAGGACAACGAAAATTTCATTTTGCTCTTTCGAAGTGATTAGTATTCTGCATGGATGACGTCTATATCAAATCAAAATTTCCTTATTTTTGAAGTCATCGCTATTACTACAAAGAGTCATTACGGTTACGCAAAGCAGAATTTCATTTTCAAACACGACTGAAAATATTTATTTATTTCAAATGGCAGGCGTTTTGATAGCTATCATTAGCCATTTAGCTGACTTCGGTCTTCACAGAGGGAAGGTTCATCAAAGTAGAAGAAAGTCGAGGGGTGGGGAACAGAAGAGCGATTCACAGATGTAAAAGAGGCAGACAGACATAAAGGTAGAAAAAAGGTAAGGCGGGTACTGTGAAAGTGGTGAAATATGACATACAGTAGGGTGATGGTAGTTTGAAGTCAGAAGTCAAACGCCGGTTTATAGACACTTTGCCGTATGATTATACGTTGCCCAGGGTGCACCACGTGGAGGTAAGTCTATCGCACACCCCACTTTGAAAATACTAGTTAATGCATTTGAAATGAATTAGATTTATCACTAGTTGACAAGTGTAGTGCAACACAATAAAGAGACAACATTTTCAAAACAACTTTTAAGTTAATCTAATATACAGAAATTTAAATTATATACTTTTTCACGAATGATTTTCGGAGTTCAAAATATGCCAAATTTGTCGCAAAATTAAACGTACAATATGCAGTCTTGGTAAAATTGTGTTGGTTTGCATAAGTGAAGATCTAACGCTTTAGTCAATTTGTTAACAGAATTGTAATATAGGTCAAGTAGGTTTATTTTCAATTGCTAATAAGAAAGATAGTGTTCTTTGAACAGCCCGCCCTTTGACATGTGCTAATAATATGCCTAGCTAAGTGCCGGCCCTTCTCTTTATGATTCCAATTGACTTATGGGAGAGGGAAGCAAATCAAGTGAAATTCAACTGAAATGTGCGATGTACGTCAAATGCTGAAAACTATCTAAGAGAGAGAAAAACAAAACAGTGGTCCTGCAATGGATTCCTGGTCACTGTGGCATTAAAGACAATGAGATTGCTGACACACTTGCTAAGAAGGGGACAACGACTTTGCAATCCATGGACCGGCCCATGTCTTTCCACACAATGAAGGCCTTAATCAGGAGAGAATTCCAGACCTCAAGGTACAACGAACTCAAAGCTCGAACAAAGGAGAAACAGTGGACAGTGGCACTCTCCGACATACCCGACTGGCCAAGAATCGAAGCCGTTGCTGAGTTTAGACTACGTACCGGACACGATTGCTTGGCAAAACACCTTCACAGATTGGGAGTATACACTCAACCCACATGCCCTCTATGTAACCTACATGAGGAAATGAAGAAGACCCACCTGATTCGGTGTCCAGCTCTAAAGACAAGGACGGAAAGCCAAAGATACTGGGAAGAAAGAAGACTGCTAATTAACTGCTATAAATGTACCCCCCCCCCCTCTTGGGGGAAGCTGAAGTCAAAGATTAAGGGCTAATGATAAATATCATAAAGCCTGCCATTTGAAATAAATAAATCTAATCTAGAGGTGTTTTAGCTGTTATAAGCGAATTCGACACAGGTGAAACCTTAGTATCAAATTTTGCACATAAAACTTCTCAGATTCCCCTACTAA